GCTTCCTCCTCTTATCCCTGTGAGTCCAGTCAGTACAGCCCAAATGTGCACATGGGTGTGGGACTATCTACCGGAGCATGGGCAACCTAGCAGTAGCCACACCCCCAAGGAAAAATGACTCTCCTCCACTAGTAGCTGTCAGCTGCTGCCAGAGGCTCCTCCACTAGGGGTGGGAGCTCATTAGCCCCCCTCCCATCCATGCTGGAATGCTGACTGGTTTGATCTTGTGCCAGTCTTGTTCAGGGAACCAGAGCTGTAGAGAGGTCATGAGTGCTACAGCAGCACAGCAGGTCTGGAAGACAGCTTCCGGCTCTTATATTCTTCCCAGGCCTTCTCTGAGCCTAGGGCTGGTGGCGGTGATACAGATGTCCCAGTTAGGGCTGAGGACTCACTGTCCTGTACTCTAAGCACTTGAACTAATTAGGAGTCTCTGCATTAACAGCTGCCCATTGCAAAAAGAAGCCTTGGTTAGAAAACAAAGTTGAGAGAAGCATAGACCTTTGAGTATAAATATTTAGAAGACAGCTTGACAAATATTTAGAAGACGACATGAAGGTTTAGCAAAGTCACAATGGCAGATTCTGCACTAGGGCCTGTGAGATCAGCAGCCGCAGGCTTTTGAGCTGGTTTACCGTAGCAGGTATGAACACTCTGCTATGAACCATGCCTCAAATCCAATCAGAAAGTGGTTGGTTACCCACGTAACAGTCATACCAGTATATCACCAGTGGGCACATCTTACCCCGTGGAGACTCAGCATGTAGTGTAGCCTGCAGAGTGATACCAATTATAGCTCTTCTCCAACGGTCCTCCCGTGTAGCCCCTTCTGGCACTGTGAAAATTATCCAGCAGAGAGGAAGTTTCCCGGTTAGTTTGAGATTGGTGTCTCTATGTCCTGCAGCCGAACTGTGTGGCGCAAGGACTTTATCATCTTGTTACGGCGTTCAACGAAGCTGACAAATACTGGCTTCTTCTGCTTTTGCTGTTTGGTCTGAAGAGGGCACAGGTGGAGGTGCAGCAGCTTCTGTCTGCCAACTCTCTCGTTTCCTGCGGCTGGCTTTAGAGGCGAGGCACAGAAAAGTGGACTCTGGGAGGGTGGACTAACTTGGGGTTAGTGAAACAACTGAACAGAAAGAGACACTCCAACCACTAGTAGTCGGTGAGACTGGGAAGAGGGAGACCGGCGATCCTTGGCTTCAGCAGTCTCCATGAGGCCCCCAGTGGGTCCTTATAGGAAGGGTTGTCTGTGCTGGAAAAGAGTAACAAATGTCACTAGTCTACCTGCCAGCTGGTTACCCCTCCCCACTGTGGCCTTTCTGAGCCCATGTTATCTAGGTTGTGTGTCCTAGGAGAGATGGGTCACAATGCCAGTTTTAGGCCAACCATTATTCTCTTTGTTTCTTGCCTTGTTTCTGTTCTCCCCCTTTCCTCTTCCCTTGGTCATGAGACATCCCATCTGTGGGACAGTGTCCTTCTGGATTGTCTTCAGTGCTGTCAGGGTTGCTCACTCAGCTCTGCACAGGTAAACAGACGAGTGTGAGGAATTTTCGGTCCTCCACGAAGACAGTTGGAGGAACTTGCTTGGCACCAGCTCTGGCTACTGAGGGCTTGGTTGATTTGGTGGAGGTTGTAGAGTTCACCGTGGACAAGGTGGTACCAGGAATGATAAAGATCCTCCTGGTCTGCATGAGGTGGTATCTGGCCACTGTGTTGCCGGGTCTCCCTGACCTGACCACGTTGGCATTTTCTGGGTGTGGGAGAAGGGCCGTGACTCACACATCTGGATGTTTTGCTTGCCCTTGGGTTGTGGGGGAGACCTCATAAAAATCTGGAATTTTTTTTTTTTTTTGGTCCCTATTCTGAAGGAACTTCAGGGATATGGATGATGGTTTGAGGTGATGAAATATTCCCACCTGGGGTCTCTGTGTCCTGCTTCTTGCTGGGAGAGCTCCCCCAGACTCATTTTAGACTTTGTTTTATGTTGACCCCCGCGACTTGCTTTTCTGTAACTGAACAAACCACTGGTCTTGAGATGCATCTGTTCTACACATCTGCTTCCCGCTGTGTGTGCCACAGTGTCTCATAGTTCTGTTTGTTTGTCCTTCTTATTCTAGTAACCCCTTCCCCTGTTAGCTTCACTTTTTACCATGTCTGAAAATGTTAAATGGAATATTCCAGAAATAATTCAAAACTTTCAAACACTTTGTATTTAAACTATCCTGTATTAGTTCTAGTTCATTATTAATTATTAACCTCTTAGGGAGCCAAATTTGCAAATTAAATTTGTCATGAGTGTGTATGTACATGAAAAGACAGTATGAATAGGGTTTGGGGTGCTGTGGCTTCAGGCATGGAAGGAATGTCTCTCCACAGATAACAAAGACTACTACTGAGCAGGAGGCTGGGCCTAGGCTGTATATTTCTGTTGTATTTTTATATTTAGTAAGTGGTATGGTGCTTGGTTAATAGTTGCTCAATACTAGTTCATTGATGGCATAAGTGAGTGTATATGGATTTTAGACATTTTCCTAATAATTAGAAAAAACAAGGTAAATATATTAATACTCTTCTTCCCATATTATATAACAAAGTCTCAGAAGTTAAGTGTACGAAATGGCAAGAAATTACAGATAGAAAACCCAAAAAGTTAGAGTCTGCTGTGCCCCAGTGTGTGTGGGGTATCCAAGGAAGCAGGCCTTATGTTCTGATTGACTTGGACGACTGAAATTTCAGTTGCCCTATTAAACATTGGGGCCGAAGACATTGCAGTGCCTAGGATTGTCCTACAGACTGGAGGAGAGAAGGCCTCTCGTGCTTAAGCATGATCCTTGTGGCCATTGCTGTTCTTTCTGCTATTCTTCGGACCAGCCAGTTAGGTAGTTTTGTGAAATCGTATTCTCTGTCGGATCAGGTAGAACTGTGGGTGGGTTATTCATTCTCAGAGCTGCCTCGTGTGTCGAGGAAATGGAGCATCACATGGCCTCTCAGAGGACATGAATGGATTTTAGTTTTATGGTTAACCCTGTCCTCATTGACCTGGTAAATTAAATTGCACAGACTTCAAGGTGAATGAGATGTTTCCTGTTTTTCATTTTATAGTGAAAGTTGACAACAAAGTAAGTTCTTATGCTGATTTCGGGATTTCCATGACCTTCATGGAAATTTATGATTTAGGGCGTACTTTCTTGGTACCAAGAGGAGAGTCTTGTATAGGTGGCCCCCAGTAATGATAAAGTGTTCCAGGCCTGATTGTTTTGAGTCATAAGGTTTAGGAATGGTACCATGAAATAAAATGACTGCACCAAAAAGGAAGTATATCTCCTATGCAGTGAACCCTGAGGAGAAATTGCCTCTTTGATCTTCTCATTTGCTCTGTGAAGGAAGGAAGTCTAGTAATATTGGCTGTGTCAGGTACAGTCCAGGAAAGTTACAGGTTAGTAGTTCAGATGTAATCTGTAATTTTTCTTTTTACCACTCACAATCTCACATCAGAATAAGTTTTTGTATGTGGGCACATATTCTGTAAGCCATAAACATGAGGGTCTGTGTAACATTTCATGAGTGTGCAGGAATGAGTGGAACCGTGTCTATGAGGGTGAACAATCCCTTGCAACTGAATTTCCTTTACTTTATTAGATTTATTGAGTCAGAGGCTGCACTTAATGGCAGCCCAGTCTAGTCCATAAGAGATGGAAAATTAATTGTTTAAAAATCCATATAAGTGCTTTTTCATTAGTCACAGGAGACTAACTTTAGCAGTGTGTGTGCGCGTGCACATACACACACACGCGCGCGCGCATGCATGCACTCTCTTCCTCTCTCTCTCTTTCCTATATATGTGGAAACTCACTTTAGCACACACCACACACACACACACACACACACACACACACACACACACGTTCCTGTTTCCATAGACTTTCCCCCCTCCTTTTATACTCTTAGATGTAAGTACACTTTGTCAATAATTGAAGATATTTTCGAAATAAGAGCTCATTATTCGGTATGCACTGATATAAGACCTACAAAAAGTGTACTACTTTAATTTATAACCAAAGTGGGAGCGTGGCCAAGTACAGACATGATTAGCAGCATCTGTGTGTCCTGTGGGATGAGCGCCTTAAAGCAACAGTAGACTCAGGGAGACCGAAGCTGCTGATGTGTGGTCATAAAATTCTGGACTGATGCCCAGTTTAGGTGCTGTTATTTTTAGTGAGGTAAGCAAGGCAAAAGAAGGAAGTGAACGAGATCATTATATTGATTTACTTTGGGGATAGAGTATTCCATGCCTATTTTAATCAGAAGCATTTTTTTTAACCAACATTTTCCCTTCCAGAATATTAGGCTATTTTAATTGTTTAACTATTTCTTTGAGGTTTAGATAATAACAGAAAAAGAATACTCTGTTGAAGCCCAAATATTTTAGGTGTGCGTGCGTGTATGGTACCGTAGTTTTTCAAATGGAGCTCAATAAGGTTATACAATTGAGAGCCAGATCATTCTCTGCAATCCCAATGAAGACTTTAATTAGCATTCCACACTATTATCTTTAGAGACATAGACAATAGAATTTTAAAAAATTATTTGTGCACATATACATTTACATATTAACATACACACACTTATATATACAATATTCATATTGCATGTGTCTCTTTCTCCCAACCCCAGAGGATGGTAAGTTCAAATGCAAGATAACTACATATAATTACTTAATTTTACATATGTACAATGGAAATATGTCATTTCCCTCTCCAAGTACACTCTTAGCTCATTATATTGTTTTCATTAGACTTATCATTTGCAATGTTTATACAGTTATTAATTCTAAAATTTTTAAGCTGTATTAGTTATTATGTAAGTCATGTTCCACTATGATAATAATTTAGTGTCTGAAGATGATAAGATAGCATTTAGTTGGAACATCATACAAGTCTTAACTTGTATGAAATGCTCCAAGTCGGAAGCTGGGCCCAGTTTCCTGTCTGGAGCCCCTGGGGATGCTGTGGCTCTGGGGACATACTCTGGGCTCTAACTCTCCTCTGTCTGCTCTTGGTCTCACAGGCATTCTGGAATTTATCAGTATAGCAGTTGGCCTGGTCAGCATTCGTGGCGTGGACAGTGGACTCTACCTCGGCATGAATGAGAAGGGAGAGCTGTACGGATCAGTAAGTGGCAGCAGACGCTTTGTTAGTCCCCGTGTCCCACCTTCGATTTGAGCTGTATGTTTGCTAGGTTGACTAAAAAGAGAAACTGAGTCTGGACGTCAAATGGGAGTTTTTAATCTCTGAGGCGTGCTCTTTCATTACAATTCCGCATCTTCACCAGACCAAATTTGCCAGGAAAAAGCTTTATTTATATGCCAAGCCATCTTCATTATCAAGTAAATAAAGATTCACAAGTGTGAAAAATCCATCTTCTTGTATTGAATGGGGAGCTATTTTTGAAATGAATTGAAATGGTCCCCAAGCTTTGCCAAGCATTGTAATTAAAACTAGAAATAGGCCGTGCAGCGAGAGTCTAAACCCTTTCTCTGAATAACATAAGATTTTCATTATGCAGGAGAGATGGAGGTGGAAATTATTGTCGGACAGTCTTGTGTGCGAACAGGATCCAGCAGCATTGTGGTTATTTGCGAGCATTATGAATTCCTTTCTCTCTAGTCTGACTTTCCATCCTTACTAACTCAGAAGGTCATGATGGTGATGGAGCATTTGCTGTAATCTGCCAGTTGATGGGAACTGGGCCTGGTCCTGGGGTATAGCTGTCCCTGGTTCTGCTCCACAGGAAGCTGGTTGGTTTTACCCTCTTGTATCTCTTTAGTTCATCACAGTGCATGGAATAGTCAGGGTTTAGCTTTTCCTGAACATAGGAATATGGTGGAGAGGCTATAGTTACCATGTGGAACTAAGTTCAACAGTAATGCTTTGAACAAAATCGCCTTGAGTTTTTCATTGTAATTGTTGGTTTGATCATTTAATCCAAGTTACTTGAGCTATGAAAACTTGGATTGATGCTTACAAAAAGTTGAGATTTAAAGGAAACCCAGAAGAGGAGAAGTTCTGAGATTCTCAGCTGATACAATTGAAAGACAACCTTTCCCTAGATATGCTTCTTTATTGTCCATATCCTAGTTTTGTCTTTTAGATTTTTTTTTTTTACTTTTTGTATAAATGTTTTGTCTGCATGTGTGTATGTACACCATGTGTATGCAATGACTTCGGAGATTTGAAAAGGGTGTCAGATCCTCTGGAACTGGAGTTACAGATAGTTGTAAATCAGCAAGTGCTCTTAACTGCCGAGCCATTTCTCTAGCCCCATTCCCTGTTTTTAAAATATGTGTACACACATGTAGTGCAAAGTTTTACCCCAGTATTACAAATGACAAGATTATCATGCCCTGTATGATTTGAATATATTACGCGTTTAAAAGTTTTTAGAATTAATTTTTAGTGTACAAAAGAACGTTTCCTTATTATATTTTTATATGTGTTAAACCTCGCTTATGTCCCCTTCATTACCCTTCCTTGTCTTTCCCCTTCTCACTCCCTCTCTTCCCTTACATAGGTCTCCTGTCATACACAGGTGTGTATGATAAATACGGCTAAATCTAGATTCTGTATGCAAGAGAAATCATGCGCTACTTGTCTTTTTTCCTCTGCATTATCTCTTTGTCTCTTTCTCTTTAGATCTCTTCAGCTTCATGACATATATCATATACACACACATGCGAGCACACACACGCACATACTTATGTCCATGCATGCATGCAATACACATACACACATGCATGCACACAACACATACACATGCACATACAAACATGCACACATGTAAGCATGCACACAGCACACACATACATGCATGCATGTATACACTATATATACACACATGCACTCACATAACACATGTACACACATATACGCACACACACATGACTCTATGTTCTACATATGAGAAAATATGATCTTTATCTAAGTTTGCCTTATTTAGTTTAGCATGATTTTCAGATCTATCTGTTTTCCTGCAAATGACACATCAATGCTTCTTTCTAGCTAAATAACTCCATTGTGAATATGTGCCTCATTTGCTCTGTCCATGCATATGTTGATGAGGCTGGTTCTATGTCTTGGCTGCTAATAACCCATTTTTTAATATCATAGGATGTGATATTATTCTATTTTGGAAGAATTTCCCACTACAGGTTAATTGGTTTAGATATTTAAATACTTTTTAGAAGTGCTTCTCGAAAAAGAAAATAAATTATTTAAAAGTGTTTGTTAGATATAAATTTAATTTAGCTTTTGAAATTCAGCTCTTGATATAGGTAAAATTGCTTATTTTCTGAATGAGTTTTGTTAGTACTTTAACAAAGATATATATGTAACACGTAGATATAAAAAGTTTTAAAATAAAAAGTTGCAAAATGACATTCTTCATTTGACATGCTTTTATTGTTTTCAGTTTCGACATGCCACTAGAATTAATTATGTCAATCCCAGTTGGATACAATACAGTGCATTTTTTGTTGCATATATAAGGGAAATTCTGCCCTTAAATGGGTTGAAGGAGCTATAGGTTTATTTCTTTATTGTTATCTGTTTAAGTGGAGACAGGGTCTCATTATGTAGTCCGGGATAGCCTGGAACATGTGGCAGTCCTGCAGTGTCTTCCTGAGCACTGAGATTAGAGGTATGAAACACAACCCCTGGTGGGTCCTGTGTCATTGCAATGGTCTCCAGACTTCTCTGAGCACACATTCCTACCTAAAAAGGTAGCTTTTCCTTCAACGCGTATTCATCTCAAGATATGAATTTTACATTATTTTAGGGTATATATAGAAGTTATAGTTTATATATACCCTAGCATAAAATATACATCCAAGAAAGTATTTCTGCAGAATGTAATGAATGAATTAGTTCATGTCTAGGCTGTACCATTTGATCCTTGCTCCAAGGATTGCCTTGTATGCCTCTCTGGAATGTCCTCCCCAGCTGACCAATGACTAGACTGTCAGATGACTTGGCCAGTATGATTGACGCTCTTGAGGTTTATTGGCTGACAAGGAGGAGCACATCTAACTCCATGTTCAACAATGTTGCCTGCAGGATTTTGCTCTGGCTCGAGTTTTCATCTGGGTGTTTTCCGTGACATTCTGGAGTCATTCTCTCTCACTGTGGTTGTCTCCTTGCCTGCATGCACCCTAGTGCTAGTACAGAGCCTGGAACAGGGTGGGAAGTACTCTGAATAGGACAATACTACAGGAAATTGAGCCCAGACTGTGAAAGCTTTGTCAATCCCAGCTGCCTCCTCTAGGGCAGACATACAGTAAGTGGTTAGAAGTAGGTTTGTTGGATGTGCTAGCATATACCGATAATCCCAGCCCTCAGAAGGGCGAGGCAAGAGGGTTGTTGCAACTTGGAGGCCCACCTGATCTACATAGACAGATCATGTTATTGAGTTGTACTTTCTCAGGTGTTCCTCCAAAGATACCTTCGGTTCACTATCATGGACTCCAATCTTCTGGAGCTGTAAGCCCAATTAAGCCCTTTCTTTTATTAAAAAACAAACAAACAAAAAACAAACAGTCCAACAAAACATGAAACCAAAACCCCAAACCAACCAAAACAAACCCCAAGCACTAGCTGGGTATGATGGCACACACCTTTAATCCCAGCATTCAGACTGTGAATTTGAGGTTTACAGTTCCAGGTTAGACAGGGCTACACAGTGAGACTCTATCTGTAAACAACAAGAACCCAAACCAAAATCTAAACAAACTAAACAGTAGACTTCTACCCACCCTCGCTGTGGCCACAGTCAGCTGACAGCCCCAATTATCAATCCCAGTGAGGGAAAAGCAAGGGCCACATACCATCTCCTAGATCAGGTATCTTCAGGTTTGGAGACTGCCCTTAAGACAGAGTGCTTCTGCCCCAGCACCTCCCAGCATTACCCCTTCTCCACAGTGATGGTGGAATTACCTTCACACCTTGATCTTAGGGTCCCCTCCCCGAGATCACTCCAGGGCATACCTTGAAGCCTGCTGCCTTTTGTCTCCTGTGATTTTCACTGAGTACTTTGCTCTCTGGTGCCATCTTTGGTATCAATTTCTGCGTGTCATTTGAATCTCTTCATTGTTCCCCAGATGTGTCATCAAGTGTCACTTATGTGTGTGGGAAAGTTAATTCTTTTCTGGGATCCCTTCTCATCTTGATGACATAGCATTCTTTAAGGACCAGTGGAAATATTCCCTCTTGTGTAAAACCTTCCTCATGCTCCCATTGTAGTTCTGCTTATTCTAGTGGGGTGTCTTGTTTTTTTTTTTTTTTTTAGTTTATGATTCCATCATTACACAAGCAACAGTACAATTTATAGGATGGTTCAGTGTGTTTCCTTTCGGGGATCCAAAGGGCCTAAACATATTTTACTTCCTAGTGTTACCTATTGCATAGTAGTGGCCCTTGAGGTAGGAGGCGCTCAGTAAATGCTCCTCAGAGCGAAACGGGTAGCATTGTGATTAGTGTCTGTCTCTCCTACAAGCTGTGCAGGTGTAGATCTTATAATTCCACCTGTGTGGTCAGCATGTCCTCGAGATTATAGCTGTGGGAGGAATCTTGCTCTCATTCTTATGCCTCATTGCACCATGCCTGTGTTGTCCTGGTGCGTATAGCCCAAAGGGGATGCAGCCATAGTTGGAGCAAAACTAGAGGTGAAGACATGGTCAGGCTCCTGTTCTGCTTCTGCTCCTGAGCAACCCAGTGCTTGTTTGCCTCCTCTCTGAGAAGGAGAGTGTAACATGAGGGGGGCTGTTAGTTGGGGTTTCTGTCCCACCCGGTCCCCCAGCCATTCAGTCCCAATAAAAATCACACAGAGATCTCTATAAGTTATAAAACTGATTGGCACATTAGGTCAGGCTACTTATTAGCTAACTCTCACATCTTGATTAACCCATTTTTCTGATCTATGTTAGCCATGTGGCTCAGTACCTTTTCCAGCTGGCAGATCACATCCTGCTGCTTCGGTGATCTGGGCAGGAGTGGGAGGAATCAACTTCCTCCTCCCCAGAATTCTCCTGCTCTCCTTGCATCATTTCCACTTCCTGTCTGGTTTACCCACCTACACCTTCTGCCTGACCAATCAGCGTTTATTTAAAACATGATTGACA